GTGCAGGGGATAAGGGCAGTGTTGCTGTCTGATTCTCCAGCCTGGACAGCAACAGTCAGGCCTATTCATAGTCTCACATATTATATATTGCACGCAAAATGCCCTTCATAACTCAAGTACCTTGTCACCACTTCTTTTTTTTGACCTTCTCTATTATGTTTTCAGCCTTCTGCTGGCCCTCTCCTACAGGCCTTCCTGGTTGGGGCTTTTATTCCTTCAGTGGTCAGAGTACAATGGTGCGATCCCTTCCCAGTTTCCTTCTTATTTAGCTCTAAAGGATGGAGTGAGTGGGGACACAGTCTTAATGGGTCATCCACCTAGTGATACCCCAGCACCCTAATAATGGGGGGGGGGGCGGGAAAGGGATAATGCTTCTAGCAGGTAATGGGTCTCCCCATTGTTTTCAGTGGGAGGGGCGAGCACATGCATATGTATGTGGGGGGAAGTGGGTTAGGCTCTGCATATTTTACAGCAAACTGTTTTTATCTTTCTTTAAAGCCTCAATGTAGACTGCAATTTACTTAGCAGCATTAGCCGGTCATTGCTGTGGAAGCCTATCTTGATGCAGCTTGCTTGCATTTTTGCTTAGGTCTAGGTGGTGCTAGTAGACCTTTACGCTCACACTAAATTAACTTGCATGTAAGTACAGAGAATTTTAGGAGGAAATACTCAGCTTGTACAACTTCCATAAATAAATTAACCTTTCATCTGTAGCTTTGTTTTGATCAATAATGGTATGCTATAATTTCTGATTTCTTCTACTTGAGCAATTAACCAGCTGGAAGAATGGTTCATTACACATACAGTAATAGTTGGATTTACTCCCTGATAGATATATAAAACATTGCACTCCCACCCTTTGAACATGGTTTCACAAGGATCCAAGGCTTGCTGCAGAGATGGAAAATATTATGATTAAAATGCAAAATTGTTCACCTTCTAATCAGAAGTAAAACATTTGAAGCTACATGTGCCCTGAGCGCTGAAAATAATCCTATTTTAAAGCACCAAAGTATTTGTACCCAATAAGAGGGGCACAGATTAATTGAGGAGGAAACAAATTCCCCTCCCCTTACCCCAGCATATTCTCTGGCAGATTTTATGAAACTGTCCTCAGGAAGCATCTTTTTTCTCAACCAGATTTGCAGCTTTTAGAACCTTTTCCCATGATTCTGGTTCCTTATTTCAAGCCCACGGGGGCAGGACCTGCTTTCCATGTTGGTATAGAAACAGCAGTACCACTACCCATTTCTGTAGTATGGGATGATGTAAAATGAATAGCAGAAGCCAAATCCCTAGCAAACTCCATGGAGTTCTCCCTTTCAAGAGGTATTTTCAAAGTGGTAGTATTTAGCATTTCGTGTGTGACATGCTCTCTAACCCTCCCATTCAGAATTGTTTTGTACTCTAATTTCTCACCCTCCAACTCTGCCTTATTGCTTTATTAGCAACCTTCAGCTGTTGGCCTAGAGAGTGGCACACTATGCCAATTTTTATTCTTGGGGACCGTGTGTGCCACCTTTGGAATACCTCATTTACATGTGTTCAGGGGAAGTCCAGACTGCTGTCATTTCTAGGTTTGTATGGCAAAGCAGCAGGCCTCTGCCACTAGGACAGACTTTCTAAGAAAAGAAAAAATGCTTTTCATTTCTGTATTAAGTTGGGTTACCAAACTGCTCAATGATACTGCAAATTGAGTGTGCTTCATTTGTTAATGAAATATTTCAGTTTGCAGTCATCAGCCTATGCAGTGTGTGAGAAAGCAGGTGGCTGTGGGAACCATAATTTTAAATGTCTTGCCGCCTTATGCATGCAAACTTGCAACCACATTTTCATGGTTTCTTGCTAATTTTAATTTCCTTTTGGTAGAACAGGTCAATAAAGGTAATACATGTTTTAGAAAGTTAAGCTTTCTTGTATTTCAGGAAATGAAATCTATTTGCTTTATTTAATATCAGATTGTACTATTTCTTGCAAAAAAGTTGACTTCGACCAAAACAAAATGTATGTCCTATTTCTGCATGTGCTTCCTACTATATAAATGCAAAACTATCCAGGATTTTACATGTATTCATAGATAGCTAGGCACAGATCTAGCCAGGATTGAGGCCAGAAGCGAAGCTTCATATGTGTACTGCTAATAACATGTATGCAATATAGACTTGGACGCGGTCATTATTCATTTAAAACTCAGGTCTGTGAGCTGCTTTTTTGGTAGTCTGGGTAATGTATTGCTGTGATCACCATCATGGTTTCTCTCAATGTCGTAGTTCAGTGGTCTCCAAAGTTGGGTGCGCAAGACGATCCAGTGGGGTGCAGGAAGAAAATATTAGAACTTCTATTTCTATTTCTATAAATATACGTATATTGGGGGTGCGTGCTCAAAAATTTTTTTACTGATAGGGGTGCACGATCAAAAGTTTGGAGACCACTGCTCTAAAGTACTTTCACTCATTATCTACAACATAGTCAGCTACGACAGTGGTCTCCAAACTTTTTTGATCGCGCACCCCTATCAGTAAAAAAATTTTTGAGCACGCACCCCCAATATATGTATATTTATATAAATACAAATAGAAGTTCTAATATTTTCTTCCTGCACCCCGCTGGATCGTCTTGCGCACCCCCGGGGTGTGTGCACCCCACTTTGGAGACCACTGGTTTAGAGTACTTCAGACTATTTTAAAGCACTTTTAGTAACTTTATTACCAGATCCTGCAAGTCATTCTCACAGCCACTAACTGTCATGTTGTTACAAAAGCATCATATCAGTGTATTGCAGCTCAGTGAGCTCTGAAAGGAGGAACAATCAGTTTGGGTGATAAAGATGACATATAGAAGACAGAAGCTGAGATTTATTATAGGCAATTTGCTAGAGTGGCAGGCAGCACTTAAAGGTCACTTGTCTCAAATAAAGCTTATACCTCAACTTTGGAAATATTAGTCTGTTTTGTTATACATAATACCCTGCATCAATTGACTTTTATAGCAAAACATTACAAGGTTCAGCTTGAACATTGCAAATTCTTCCATGTATTTTATAAGCAATAAGAATAAATGCAGGTGCTAACAGTGGTAATGAATTTCTGTTCTATAACATTTTTGACTGGTGGTACCTTTAAGAATATCCCCTCAGTTTGTAAAGGGTATTTCATATAAAATCCTTAACTATGTAGTCATCCTACATTAGGTGTTGGTGGGGGATAGGGGGTTCATTTTGAGAGGCATTACTTGCTCCAGCAAAATTCTTTATCTTTCTACCACAAGAGTCTATCAAAACAGAAGAAATGTTCAGTGCAGCCAACTCATTTATTAAATAATGGACATGGAACAGTAATAGCTTTAGAGGCTCCGGCTCCTTTTTGTGGCATTTGATAGTGTTGACCATATGTTACTGCTGTCCAACCTAGAACAGGAGATGGGGGCTGGAGAGAATGCACCAAAATTGTTTGAAGTCATTTCTGAAAGGACTAGCAATGGAAACTGTATCTTTGGCACCAGCATTGGTTGCTGTAGTACTTGAGTTGTGCCTTCATTGTGCATAGACATCATGGTTTAATGGAAGGATTTGAAGAATGATAATGTAGGAACTTTGTCTTACGCCCACTAATCTAATAACTGGAGGCTGTGATAGTATCTTATAGCATATGACAGAAGGTTGTACAAAACCACATTTTTAGAAGATAAAAATATTCACTAAGGCAGGGGTGTCAGACAAGCAGACTGTGGGGCCATTTAATCTGGGACTCCTACTAGTGCTGGGAATTTGGAGGTGGGGCCAGCCACTGAATTGTGGGGTATGGAGCCTTGTTGGGGTGTGTATGAGTGGCAGGGGCTGAGCAGTGGGTGTGCAAACCCCTGTGCTGCTGCCGCTTGCCCCACTGCTGGTGGTGGGTCTGGATCCAGCCTGAAGGAGCCCTGCAGTTTGGTCCTGGCCCTGTACTAAGGCCATAAGAAATGCCCAGTACTTGTTACAGTGCTTCAGTTAAATCTGAGCTGTCTCTTGCTTTGCCTTTTTTCTCCTGTTTTTGTTGTGTAAGAGATCATTTCACAGCATATGTCAGCTCTTCAATGGATGTGCTGACAGATACCCGATGTACCTTTTGGCCAGTATATTGAATTTTGTCAGCTGAGTGTTTTGACCTTCTTACCGTTCTCAAATCATGAAAATGGAATATTTACTGAGACTGTAAAACTGTGGTTATTAAACACTCTTCAGAGTTGAAAGTTTCCACGTCCTTGGAACAGGTGCACTGTTTCATGTCTTCTCTTGGAAATATTTTTTCCCCAGTTTTTCTCCAAGTGACAAAATATCTCCATTTCCAGTTATATCTGAAAATAATATTATAGGTCTACTCAGGCAAGTTAATTCATAGTCACCTTTTTTAGATGAAAATGTAATAAAATTGGAAAAATCGAGTGATCCTTGTGCAAAATAGTGGCGTTGGGGTGCTGGAATGTCATAGCTGTTATTCACTAGCAGGCTTCGCTTGTTTCAGAATTTAGGAGATGAATCCAGTTGATGAACAGCTTAGGTAAGTAGTTAATTCAAAGACAGATAAATGTATCATACAGATTTAACAGATAGTGTCCATGGCAGTTCCTATCACTTTGTGTAAGCAAAAATATAACCGTAATATCAAAGGGATCTTTCAGTCTCATTTGTAAGCTGTTTGTGGGAGGAACAACTTGTTTTATATTCACACGTGAACATTGCAAATTCCTTGAACAGACACCTGTACACTGCTGTAATAAAATAATAATAAATAATACAATGCAACTGTTTACCTCATTTAAAAAAAATGAAGCCACACAAAAATATGTGAAACAGATCTGAAAACTATAACTTTTATGGTTGGGGCAAGGTTTTATGCAAGTTAACGTTTTCTCCAGATCTGGCTTATAAAATAAGTCTGATGCAGACGTTCAGAAAAAAAAATCTTTATGCAGTAACTTGTGTTCAGATCAGACTGACACGTTTGCTTTCCTTCTCTTTACAGCTTCCAGCAGATCTTACCAAGATGCAGATTGCAGACAATCCACATCCACAGGTGACTCATGTCCCTTCCAGCCAGTCTGGATGTAGCATTGCCAGTGACTCTGGGAGCAGCAGCTTGTCTGATATATATCAGGTAAAATTGCAGAAGTTTGTTTTACTTGTTTTTACAGGCAGTGAACATTTGTAACATTCCACATTTTGCCTCATCGATAAGATAACATTTTTAATAACTGTAATGTCAGTTATTTATGGGGCAGCTTTATGGAAACATTTCACTTCCAGGCAATACATTTAAGTAAGCGCAGTATAACTAGGACTGTGCACACAGATGATTTTTCAGTTCATTATTCTTTGGTATGAATAGAAGGTGAGTAAGATGCATGTAGTATGTTTTGGATACGTGTAAATATTTTAGGTCATAGTAGTTTGTTGTAGTTTGGAAGCTCTTGGTACAGACTCACAAAATGCAAGGCTAGCTTCACTTCAGACAGGTTCATAAGAACAATTTGACCTCCACTTACTTGTCTCCAGGTGCAAATTTTTCTACTCCTAGGATCTATCTCCAATATGCAATGTGAACCAGTCAGGTCCCATTAGATTTCAGGCACCTGTATGTTCTCCCTTTGAATACTAGTGACCATATATATAATATGGACTAACATCATGTTCTTTTTTTTTTTTTTCCTCCAAGAGATTTATTTCACTCTTGGCAGATTTTCACCTGCTTGCCCATCATCCCCTGCCCTTCATCTCTTGCTTGCCCTATAGAACATAGTATATTCTAGATCTACATTATCCCTTCCAAAGATCCTCCAGTCTTAAGGCCCCAATGGTATGGAGAGACAAGTCATTTATCTTGTACAATCAGATCCTTAAGATTTCTGTGTCCCCTGTGGCAGTGTTTCTCTGTTTTTCAACCCATGGGTCATGACCCAGAAGTGGATCGTAAGAATATATGAAAGGGTCATGAACAAACTTTAAAAATGGATTCTCCTTTAAAGGGGAAATCATGGCTTTTCCCTTGCAGGCTGAGTTCCAGACTTATCTCCAGGTAAAAATAAACTAAAAGATTTACTAATATGCTAGGGGCCTAGGGCTGTATTATTCAGTTTAAGATTGAAGCATAAACAAATATAACTTTATTGGAATGAATCTTCAGGGCTGTGAAATAGGAGCAGCTAACATACAGCAGAATTTCAGGAAAAAAAGGCTAGTTTGATTAGTGGAACATCAAGACAATTAAAAGGGAGAGAAGTACGTTAACACCTGTAGAAGGAAGAGTTTAGAAGGAATTGGGTAGATTATGATGATCCACGAATTTAGTTGACTCAGTGCTGCGTGAACAGAAATGTTGCTTCCCCTGCCAGGCAGTTGATTTTAAACTTTGAGTGAAGCAGGAATCAAAGTGGGGTGCAACTGCACCAGTGCATCCCTTCTCTTCATCCCAGATCTGCCCTGGCATAGTATTGTGTTAGCATAGTTTTAATTCTGTAATGATGGCACTCTCTCTGAGTGTTAAACTGTTCAGTTCTGAAAGTTATTTTCTTTTAAAAATAGTTGACTAGTTGAATAAACTCTGGAGAAAAGAAACTTTGGTAACATAAAATGTTGAAGTGTTGTGGAAGATACCAGTTGTACTGGGCCTTAGCAGTTAGTTGAGTTTCTTTTGAATGCTGAATTGTTTGGACGTACAGTATAGGTAACATTTTGACCTTAACAGCAAATCTAAAAATGTCAGCAGAAGAAGATTGGTGGTATGAACATAAAGCTTTTATGATTCATGTGTAGTATACATGAAAGGAACATTTTAAATTTACAGAGCCTTAACATTCAGTAATTTCTCCTCAGTTACTGCTGCAATGGCAATGATAGACATAGGTGGTGGGATGTTGGAGAGTAAAAAGTAATAAACTAATATTTGTATAAATTTTACGAACAGGTAGGTGACTGTTGAAATTAAGTTTCACCTATCCCAGCCATTCCTCTCTCCAGGATGTTAAACAGGAAAAGCACATTTATCTGACTGATAGATCAACAGGATATTATTGCTCTCCTGTAAGAACTGACATGAATATGCAATGGTTAAGCCCTTACTTGATTGCACAAACAAATGAAAATAAGTAACTTAAGATTCTTTCTTCCCGGTCACTGCTACTGTCTGTCCTTGGAGCTGTCCATGCTTTTGTCCCCAACTCTATACATTATAACTTCTAATTGGTTTGGCATATTACAGAAGCAGTGGTGTTTGAAATGTTGCAGAACTCCACTTTTGGTACCAAGAAAACAAGTGGTCCTTTTCTTTGAGTCAGAAAGAAATTAATTTAAATGCATTTATTTTTTATAAAGTGGGAGGTTTTAACATTTTATTTTATTGACTTGTTTTGCACCAATTGCTGCAAATGCACCTGGGTGCTTTTCAGAAAATGAGGCAATTTAGACAGAAAAGAGGGAAGTTAAATAGTCATGAATGTAATGACTCAAACAGGAAGGATGTATAACTGCTGCAGACAGCCACAGTGAACTGTGACAGACAGCCTGAAGGAAAGGCAGTCCATAGGCAAAACGCAAGCACAGCCTAGTTGATCAAAATTATATGGGGGAGGGGAGGAAGGGTGGCACTAAGGAAAAGGTGGTTGTTTAAGAAGGGTTTTATGTCTTTATATTAAGAACTGGCAGTGCCTTCGTTGCTGGTCATAATTTTGGTAGGTGTGTGTGAACAGTAGGCAGTGAGAACTGTTGACCAGTGGTGCTTCCAATTTGTATTATCATTTTAAAATTGCAATTAATTGAGTCAGAAGGTGCCTTACTTTGATACTCAGAATGTCTTGTGCCTTTTAATAGTAGCCTTCAAATTGACAGGGTCTAATCAGTTCAGGGCTGCTGTTAGAAGCCTTGAAATTGGCCTGTGCTAGTAAATCTCCCAAGTTACACAGTTAAACTGAGTACAATTATATTTCAAAGTAGGCAGCAGAGCCAAAGACTTCTTTTGCTCTTAGGTGGCATATGCACTTAACCAATATGCAGATTACCAATATTAGTTATAATGTTAGCAGTAGCCAAAAAATTGTGACTGGCATTTTGCTATGCATTTCAGCAAACTGTGCACATATCTACCATGGATATAATTGCAGTTTATCATCCATATTTTCAACCTTAACTACATTGTAGTTTAGTTTGTTGAAGGGATGCAATCAAGAACTTATTTTGCTTGTAATCCCTTTTGTGCTTTTACTACCTATAAACTATAACATTTTTAATAGCTTAAACATTACTGGGTTCCAGCCTGCTGCTTTGGGCTGTAGGTTTGCTGTAATGCTCCATTTTTGTCACTGATTTTTGGCAGCCTCTGAGAATAGAGTTGGCTGTTAACTTGCATTTCCTCTGTTGGCTTCTCATTGCAGCGACATGCCTGCTGTTTTCATTTCAACTTAAATATCTCTGCTACGTAGGGGTGGCAACTGAGGGTACATTTTCTTCTTAAAAGACGACATCCAGTTGACCAGTGGTCCTCATTTTTCACTGGCCCATTAGCAACATTAATGAGCAAATAATGTTTTGTAAGTGATATCACATCTTGCTCCTCCCACCTTCCCTTGGTTATAACTTTTAAATTTCCTTTGGTTCAAGCCCTGTTGATGGGACTCATAGGCAACATATCGTCTGGAAGCCATGATTTTGGGGACTGTTGGACTAGATGAGGGTGTCCAACTTACTTCACCCCATGGGCCAGATGACCTACCTCTAGCAGCAGGTCAGTGGCTTGTTGGTGTGGTTGCCAGACCTGTAGTCCTGGCACAGTTTTGCACCCATGGCATAAAACCTACCATCACTTGCCCTCCCCCTTTTCCCCTGCCCTTTTCCCCAGCTACCAATTTTAGTTGCCAGCAGTGAGCAAAGACCCCAAATATGGTGGCAGACAAGGTCGGGGTGGGGTGGGAAAGAGGTGAGGTGAGTGATGGTGGCATTTGCTGCCTAGGTTCTAGAGCCACACCAATGCAGTGTTTCTGACAGCCATGCTAACAAGTCCTGTCAACCATAATTTAACCACTCCAGCTGGCTGCCAGCTGGGGAGCTCTGGCTTGGATTATACATTTCAGTCTAATCAAGTTTTGCTCTTAATTAAAGTAAATTTGAAATATGTTTGTCTGTATGAAAGTTTAAGCTCCTTTTGGAATTCCAGTACTTTACAGGAATTAAAAGTTCCAAAAGTTCATTGTAATAAACTGATAACAGCTCTGTGTTTTCCATGAAGAAATCAGAATACAAGATGATAGTAACCATTGTAAATTAAAGTCATTGTCTGCACAAGGCCATATCTTTATTTCTTTAGTTTAAATAAAAATAACATTGTTTCTAAATAAATAATGTCAAGCTTGGACTTGGACATTATTTTCATCACTTAGTGAATATTAATTAATTAAGTTTGTCCACAATAGTAAAAAAAATGACAGTTTTTGGACCAACTATATAAGTAGGAAAGATGGTATCATTGGTAGGTGGCAGAGAAACTAATCTCTTTCCTAATAACAGTTGGTCCAAATAGTTGGTCCAATAAAAGGTATTACTGTACTAACCCCCACCCTTTCTTGTCATGTATTCCCTGGACCGTCATAGCTGCAACAGCACTATGACCCAAGGAGAATATTTTAAGGCAAATTAGGTTGGGGGGTGCTAATTTATGACACTCGCATGTATTATCTCTTACAGATTACATATTAGTATGATTAAAATGCTAAATAATTTAGATCTCAAGTCTTTGAGAATATCCGTGTGGTCAAACTTTGCTGCAAATGCAATTTTGTAGGCATGCTGTTTATACTTGTTAATATACAACATGTGTAGTACTAGAATGATAAGTGTGTCTTAAAATGGAGCACTGAAAAAGGTAACTTCACCATCTGAAATAATATTATTTTATTCAGGACTTTTTGCCCTAGGTAATGCTAATTAGTTCATGGGCAGGGAGGTCTTAGCTTTTGTTAAAGACCCAATCTTGCCACACATTATTTGTGTACAGGATTCGAGAACCACAGAATATATTTACATGGTGCTGTTTATAAGGGATGGCGATTTTATTGTTGCCACTTTATACTCCAAAAAGTAGGTAATTGTGTATTTATTATGTAAATATAC